CCGGATCCGTTTTTTCCAACCGGATCCGGATCCGGATTTTCTTATGCGAAATCCGCCGGATCCGGATTCCGGTTTCTCCCGGATTCCGGATTTTGGTACTATTGGTAGATACTTCGGTAAGTCAAGGTGGACTACTACTTTTTGTGTATGGGAATTCGCAATCGGCGCCAAAAAATCCGAGTTTTTAATTTTCCGATGTGTGTGTCTATTTATTATTAAATTAGTACTTTCGATATATATTTGAGTTCCGTTCCATTTGGATAAGTGTCTTACGAGAGACGCCATGTTTCTACGCGTTCGCAGCAGGTTATGCAGCTCGCTCAACCTAATTTCGCCATGGGGTTGGCCACGCCCCCCTTTTTAATGGCGGAAGTTGACGATACTTAGGAAATATTAATTTATTATCACTATTTACATCAAAATAATTGATAACTTGTGTTTCAGAATGCATTTAAAGACATTTAAACTGGAATGTTTTAATTTGAGCTTTAACAACCCGGTAGAATCCATATTATAAATGATCAGAATTTACCGTGTGCAACACGTTGTCATTGGCAACCATTCACAGCCACTTGCATAACTGTATCGTAGTACTACCTCAGAGTTTCATTCATAAGAGTTTGCCGTGTGCAAAAACTATTAAACCATTGGTCAGGGAAAGCTTTAATTAATTATTCATGTGCCAAAGTTGAAAGTTTAAACTAAGTCTAAACAGTATTTTAGTGATAAGGCAGGGAATGCGTTGCCTTATATAAACTATATAGTCATTGCGCATGACGGGATTGGTGGAATGAGATCACAGAATGTGGAGATGCAGTCCATGTTAAAAAATGACAAACCAAGTCGTACTTTAAAAATTCATAACTTTAAAACTACAACAGCTAAAAATATGATTTTGGTGTTATAATTCTTTAAAAAATTACATCTTTTCAACTATGCCATTGGTTTATTTTTACAAAAAGTTTAAATTTTCTTATCAAAGTCCCTACACTATTGGCCACTATTAGCGGTGCTGACTCTAGCCTCTGGTATGTACGGAATATTAAACATTAAACAAGCTCAACGCTCGAAACAATCGATTAATGTATCGTGATCGTGTGAAATTCGGGAAAGAGAATTACTTTTATTTCAGATTATGATCCGGTGAGTCACAAAATCTGGCAAATTCCGAAATCCGGTATATTCCGGATTCCGGAATCCGGTTATTCCGGATACATGTAAATCCGGCGGAACCGGATTTCACCGGATAGTGCAAAATCCGGCGGAACCGGATTCCGGACCGGGGTCCGGCACACCCCTATTTATTACATCTTTAATAAACTTCTTAAACAAATGTTTACATTTGTAAAAACTAGGATGAGTCTTATATTGCAGAATTTATTAAAGACTTGATAAGGTCGAAATATTACTGTGAATTAATTTATTGCTAGTTGTTTTTTTACATTCATGTTAATAAACCATAATAAACCAAATGTTCTTCTTTTGCAATAGCTGGTATCAACAGATGAATTTATCATTGCCATAATAATATTGTTTTAAAAATCGGCTGCCACCATCTTTTTCTCATCAAACCATTCAGCGATTAAAATATCATCCTTTTCTCCTCGAACCATTCAGCAATTAAAATATCATCCTTTTCTCTTTGTGCAATAATTGCCATCACCTATTATTTTCTTTTGGCAGCCATTCAAATTCAAAATTCAACTTTTTTTTAATTCATTAATTAAAAAATAAATAAATTTAGGAAAAGGTGCTAGTCTGACCATTTGAAATTATGTGAATTTTATTTACTGCATAATGTGTAGTCTATTTCAGAGACTTTCTAACATCACTGAGGTGTTTATATGAATTTATCAAAGTGGCTATTCCGAGTCCGAGAAGTTAGAGTTTGGGATTAAAAAATTTTTTAAATTATTATTGTTCGGTTCTAAGACAAAATTTGGTGTCAAATGAAAGATAAATGAATGGACTATATGTTTGTAAACTTAATTCTTCAGTTTAACGAAAATAAACTACCAAAAATGACATCCGAATAGCGTTTAGTCTAAAAGGACCCGTGTCCGAATAGGCGATGCGTTTTCGGTTCCATTTTATTTTATGGGTCTTCCGTACCACAATACAGCCACACACAGGAGATGCTTTCACCCTTGTTTAAGTACCACTGACCACTGGGGTCCACTGTTATAGGGAAATGTTTCTGACACAGGTGCAGTCAGTAAGTTCTGAGTCAGTCGATAGGGACTGTATGAAGTGGACAGAGGTTTGTAACGTCATTTTTGAGAGGGAATTTAACTTTGAAAATAAAAGGTAAAGAAAGATAGTTCACAATATTGACAATATTGAATATATCATATAATATAAATAATAATACGATTTAAATATTTTATTATTATATTATTATATAAATATTGATATGATACATGTGATTTGAATATGATGAATATGATCAGAATATGCCTGGCTGGGCCTGAAAAATTATCTTGTTAAAAATTGGTTGCCGATGCCGATTGATATTAAAATATTTAAAAAAATAAACATTAAAAAAACGAACAAAACACAAAAAGAAAGAATACTATTTTGATCACAGCTTTTAGAATTATTTACAAGGACGCCTAAATAGATCTAATAATATAAAATAAGAATAAAAAATACTCTGACCGTTCAAACTGTACTACTGACTACTGTATGGAGAACTCTTCTGTGTTTGAGTGAGGTTTATTTTGCTTGTTTACAGTACAAAATAAAACAGGCCGGATGATGTTAAATATATTTTAATTGTATCGTATTTTATTTTATTGAATATAGTTATTTTTAATTACATTATTTTATTTGCTATTTATTGATATGTACAAATTCAAAATGGCACTTAGTGCTAGAATTATTTAATTTAATAAAATAATAATAAGTGTAAACAAGTGTATAAATTGGTGATTGATTTTGGCCTACAAATAAAGACTAATGAGACCAATGAACGTATCAATTGTCAGGTCGGCTTTAATTTTAATTAGACTAATAAATAATAAGGCAAGGGTCTTATTCATTCAGACTTACTAAAACCGTTTCTTCGTAACTGACGTAATTCTTACGTCATTATTTTAATTAAATAAAATGCTTTTTTTTACTACAAAATATTTTTTTTTTTTTTTTAATTTTCAAGCATGACAGCTTCAGTGATTAAATTTAAATAGTGAATTTCTACTTTAGCAATCAGTTAATCAGTATGTATTCGTGAAATCATGATTGGCGTGTCGGTTGTAGATGTTTTAATTTGTTGTTGCTGTTTTAAACGGAGATGGCTTTGGCCAGTAGATGCTTTAGATTCTTTCAAATGGTTAACATAATTTAGTCTAAAAAATTTTTACTGGTGGCCTTCCGTCACTCTAATTCTTTAGTTCTAAAACTATCTCTGCAACCCCCCTTGGGGACCTTAAACTCATCTTATTGCCCCCCCCCCCCCCCCCCTTTTCCGCCCCGTTTTACTTTAGCCTCAATAAAAAGCATTCAGATATCAACAGTTTGCATGAGCCTATAATATGGAAAATATGTACACAATAAATAAATATCAAATTTTAGCATATTATTTTAGTAACGGTATTAAATGAAAATGAAACTTTTTATTCAAATTCTTTCAATAATAAAATAAGCAGATCAATGATATCAAATCCAACGTCAGATTTATTTATTTTATTTTTTTTTATATTTTTTTTTTTATTTATTTTTTTTATTTAACCAGATTAACAATAAAAAATAATATCTTCACTGGTTAAATAGATTTGTACCCGAGCTTAGTTTCATCCCTGGAATGTATGTGTTCCAACTATATTATAATATGTCAAATTAAAGGGAAATAAATTTTTGTCAGTTCAAGAACATCAAGTTAATAGTTGTGTTCTTTCCCCTGTCCTTTATGCAATGTATACGAATTATAAACAGTAAATTTGCTGAGGCTACCACCATCGTTGTCTTAATATATATGAAAGGGAAAGCTTAAACCTCACCTTAGTTAAAAAACCTTTCGAATGTTTTCTTCACTTGAGTGTCTCAAAAAAGCATATTTTAATACGCAATACAGACCTCTTTAAATTTATGTACACATACTTAAATACGCATTATAGACCTCTTACAAGTTATGTACGCATATTTTAATACGTACTAACCAAGAAAATAACACCTTAAAATGCCCATCTTCCAAATGCCCATCTTCCAAATGCCCATCTTTTAAATGCCCATCCTTTAAATGCCCATCTTTTAAATGCCCATCTTTTAAATGCCCATCTTTTAAATGCCCATCTTTTAAATGCCCATCTTTTAAATGCCCATCTTTTAAATGCCCATCTTTTAAATGCCCATCTTCCAAATGCCCATATTTCTCGAAGACATTTTGACCACAAACAAGTTGCTATTAATAGAAACGGGTTCGATGTGACATCAAGAACATAATTGATCAAAGATGGACCCAAAGCTTCTGGAACAGGAGGCTTGATCTCTATGGTACCAGCACTTTACATCTGACACCTGGGTTAAGGCACCAACTATATCACCTATAGTTCATTGAGTGCGTTAAGGCAGTGGTCCCCAAATTGCGGTCCGTGGACCTTCATCGGTCCGCATGCCTAACGCTGCCGGTCCCCATAGCATAAATATTTATTGTCAGATAGAAATAAAAGTATAATAATAAATAATGCACCGGTCCCTGGTAAAATGTCGAAACGTGTGTACTGGTCCACCAAACTTAAACGTTTGGGAACCACTAAGTTAAGGCACCAACTATATCAATTATAGTTCATTGATCGCGTTAAGGCACCTACTATATCAACTTTAGTTCATTGATTGCATTAAGGCATAGACCGCCAAGCAAAAGTATGAACAACTGATTTATTTTTATTTTTATTATATTTATATAATATATATATATATATATATATATATATATATATATATATATATATACAGCAAAAGTAAATAACATTCTTTCAAACTACTTTTTTTTTAAACTTAATATCGACTCAAATAAATACGCCACAAAATTTACATTAAAATAAATATTTTAAAAACGACAATTATGAAAACTTTTTTGATTCATCACATGTTTTCAATTCAATATTATAGAATGCTTCAATAGTTGAAGTGTGTTACAATTGTGCAGTGACTCATTTCTCCAGCTCAAATCACGTGACTTCTGTTGTCTTCATTATTAGTTCACACACATGTCTAATAAAATAGGATTGAGACACACAAATAAAATTTTAAGCCCCTGAGTGTGAAATGCTTATTTATAATATATCGCAATAATAAGATTATGCACAAAAATATTCATATCTTAAAATATAAACAACACATATGATATTTTATACATAGAAATTCCTCACAAGACCAACAACCAATAAAAAATTCATGTAGAAATTGATAAATATAAATATAGAATTATAATTCAAACACACACACAAATTTTACAAATATTACTTTGCCCCTGAGAGTATCCAAACAGTTAAACGTTAAGGAATGACATCATCAGCAGAAATATGAGGCAAGATGTGAGCAAATAAGGCCAAAGGAGAGAAATGGAAATTAATAAAACAAAGTATTGACAAACCTGAAAATAAAAACGCAACAAAACAACGAACGTGTCGGCAAAAAGCCTTCACAGGCGAAAAGAGAACAAACAAACAAAATAGCGAATACAAATAACCCTTAGCTGAAAAGTAGTATCTGAGAGGACAGCAAGAGAAATATGACAGAACATAAGTGAGAAGACAGCAAGATAAATGGGACAGAACATAAGTGAGAAGACAGCAAGATAAATGGGACAGAACATAAGTGAGAGGACAGCAAGGGGAATGGGAAAGAACATAACTGAGAGGACAGCTAGAGGAATGGGACAGAACATAAGTAAGAGGATAGAGGAGAAATGGGACAGAACATAAATGAGAGGACAGCAAGAGGAATGTAACAGAACATGATAAGTAAGAGGCCAGCAAGAGGAATGAGACAGAACATATGTAGGTGAGAGGACAGCAAGAGGAATTTGAAAGAACACAATTAAGTGGGAGAACAGCAAGAGGAACGTGAAAGAACACAATTAATTGAGAGGACGGCAAGAGGAATGTGACAGAACATAAGTGAGAGGACAGCAAAAGGAATGTGACAGAACATAAGTGAAAGGACAGCAAGAGGAATGTGACAGAACATGATAAGTGAGAGGACAGTAAGAGAAATGTGATAGATCATGAGTTAGTGAGAGGGCAGCAAGAGGAGTGTGAAAGAACATAATTAAGCGAGAGAACAGCAAGAGCAATGTGAAAGAACACAAGTAAGTTAGAGGACAGCAATAGGAATGTGACAGAACATGATTAATTGAGAGAAAGGTAAGAGGAATTTGAAAGAACATAAGTAAGTGATAGGACAGCAAGATAAATGTGATAGATCATGAGTAAACTAGAGGACAGCAAGAGTAATGTGACAGAACATATAATTAGGTGTAAGAAATACAGTCAAAAGTAGACAGAGATTAATCAAGAATATTTCTTTTAAAAACACAAGACCGGTAAAATGTGAAAATATTTCAAGAAATTCTTTTTTTTTATAAAAGAAATTCTGTATTTTAAGAAAATAGGAAAGTTTTATTTACTAATTCCCAAATATGTGCTACATCTAACAATTTAGTTTGTAACTGTTAAGACTTCAGTCATATGTTATGGCCTGTTGAGACTTCAGTCATATCGTATATAGTCTGTTAAGACTTCATTATGCTGGGTCATATCTAATAGTTAACTGATTATAAAAATATAATTGTTTTGGTGATATAAATAGGGGAGGAAAAACACACATGTATGACGTCATGAGTCGGACCTGGATTGAAAGACGTCGCTCTTGGTCTGTGCAAAGTTGTGTCTGTTCAGAGACTATATTTTGGTGGCGCTTGTTCCTCAAACAATGAATTGTACAAGGGCGGCTCGTCGAAAACTGATGCTGTAAATGAAACACAAATATGAATAACATAGACAACGCTCATTTTATTACTTTGTGCATTCCTAATGGTGTATGAATATGCGGAAATTTGCGCAGCCGGAATAAGGGGGGAAAAAGCGTAGTTTCAAAGATGATTTAAATGTAATACAAAGTTATAATTCCTTGGGAGCAAGTCATCAATTTAGTTCAACAACAATACAGTCATATCAAGCTAACAATTTAGTTCAATGACAATGCAGTCTTATCAAGCCAACAATTTAGTTCAATGACAATGCAGTCATGTGTAGAAATGTGTCCTCCTATTTTCCTCATTTTGAAAAGTGGTTACATAAGTTAATGTTGGATTGCAGAGTAAGAAATGTCTTGATTCCAATCACTTTATCATTATTTTGATATCGCAATCTTTTATTCATCAAAATTGAAAAAAACATATATTGCGGTTTTTAAAAAGTTATCAGGAATCCAATAAAATTAATATAGATTTAAATCTCCTATAAAACTAAGATACATTGAAATCTCCTTTTTTAAAAAGTATCATTAAAAAACGCTCAAATATCCATTTAAACAAATTTTTTTCCATCTAAATTACTGGATGCGTCATATTTCGACTCTCTAGCCTAAAATTTCATATAAAACACATTTTAAGTTATTAGAATGTAATCTTTTTTGTTCAACCACCATTTCTGTTCATCCAATTCTATCTAAAATCTTGATATTTTACTAAAACACACTTTCTATAAAGTCTTGAAATCTAATGCAGTTTTCTTCTGATCCGTAGTAAAACTCTCTTTTTTTTTTTATTTATATGTTTCATTACATTTCTTTTTCAACAGTATCCAGATTCTCAACTATATTTGTTTTAGTGGCTGAATTACTTTTATTTGAATCTCTAGCAACATTTTTAGAAACATTGTTGACTGCATGTAATACAAGTAGACGAGGGTGGCCTATCACGTAATAAACACACAGGGTCTCTATATACAAACATATAACAAAGGTTTCCAAAATATAAACTGCAACTTCAAAATAGAACACATCCATACCTGCTGATGGCATTTTATACTTTCCAGCGTCCCGGACGACTTGCGAATATCTCGGGGGAAGTGACCCATGATCGGACAAAGCTGCGTGATATGGATGCTCCATGGAGGCACTGGTGTGTGCCACGTAGGGCGCTGCTTCGGGCGAAGGGGTGTTTTCAGGGCGGTGTCTGAGGGCGTTTGTGGCAGCTCGCTTTTTCACAAGCCTTACTCTATAAGAGAGGTAAGCAACTGTGATACCTATCGCTAAAATTATCCCAGTTGAGCTCATTGGCCAAATAAGTTTCGATTCATCGTAGACAGTGCGTTGGCCTAGCATTGTAAAAGAAAACATTCAATTTTCTATTGAAAAGAAACAGTTTAATTATATTCTTGTATGTAAAAGTTTTAACTATATATTATTATGCGGATATTTTAACATTATATATTGTTATGTGGATATTTTAACACTATATATTGTTATGTGGCTGAGAATACAATGTTGAACAGTGTTGGATAAAATCCGTGGCCTTGTTTTACACCTTTATTTATGACTTTAAATTCATCATCTGAATCCAGAATTCTAGCCATCGTGCAGTTAACTACTACAGCGATATACATCTACTGAAACAAGTCATACCTACCTAGCCATCGTGCAGTTGACTTCTACAGCGATAATTCTACTGAAACAAGCCATACCTACCTAGCCACCATGGAGCTAACTACTACAGCAATACATCTACTGAAATAGCTAGATATTCTTCATTATCTTCTACAAGCCATCCCTACTAATTGAATTAAAAGCATTGGTCCCAGGATGGTTTGACCTACTTTTGAGTCTTAGTGTAACTTCTGTGCAATTTTTATTAAGACTTGCCTTCGCAATCACTCTATACGAACCTCATTCGCTGATGCCCTTTTATGCTCAATGGCCGAGCGGTTTAAACTAAATCAATTCAAAAAGTCAGTGGTCTGGAGTTCAATCCCCACCAAAGTCTAGACAAGCAAAAACAACCCCAGCACCCCAGGTGGAGAGATTCGTTAACCTTGGACGGCAACTCATCTAAGACCAGCACCCCGGGTGGATGAGATTCGTTAACCTTGGACGGCAACTCATCTAAGACCAGCACCCCGGGTGGATGAGATTCGTTAACCTTGGACGGCAACTCATCTAAGACAAGGAAACTCTGAAATCAAGCCCGGAGATGATGTCCCATAGAAGGACAACATTGACATAATGAATAATCCGGCAACTCCTGCGACGTCACAGGTGCCAAAGCTTTATCATCCACAAATGATGTTCCCTAGGGTTATTCAGCGGCATGGCAAGAGGTGGTTTGCTGTCTAGGGAATCAGCTTATCATCCTAAATTAAAATCTTAGGCCTTGTGATTTCGCCATGCGCAGTCTACGCCATCGTCATATTGTAACGGACGGATGCCGGGGAAAAAAAATAGAAATTGAAATGAAGGAAAACAATCTCAAACATTAACTTACATTTCGAGGCTTCGACGATAATTTCCCGAGCTACTGTGACGTCACTGCCTGCCTGGCAGCCAATGACGGAGGATGTCCCACACTTCCAGTTTCTAATTGTGTACGCTAAGTATGGTTCATTGTGGGAGAAAATGACATTTTGTAATGTGGTGTTGTACAGGGTCAGTTGATTGCCCATAATACCATTTCCTGAACAATAAAATGTGACGTCACTTCCGGGGAAGACCTGGAGTTTTTCGGTCTCCATATTGGCCGTGAAAGTGAATGTGACGAGCTTGGCTGGGTCTCGTACAGGATCGGCTGTAGCGGTGGTGATAGTAGACATGGCCGTGGATGGGGCGAGCTTGGCTGGGTCCCTTACAGGTGTATCAGTGGGAATAGTAGACATCGATGTAATACCTCCGAAAATATAAGATAAGATAATAAATGTTAATATTTTTTTTAGAAAAGATAAGAGCGGATTTTTTAAAAGATAAATTAAGTAAAGAATTGATAAAATAGTTTAATATAAGTAATATAATTAGAATACGTTAAGATAAGATAAGCTAACATAAGATAAAAATAAACTAAGATAAGATTAGTTCAATAAGTTTAGATAAGTTTAGTTGCTTAAGTGTTAATGTTGGGATAAGGAAAGGCGTGCAGGATTTTTTTCACTCATTTTGCGCACCCATTTGCGCACCCATTTGCGCACCCATTTACGCTTAGTTATCTCTTCAGAAACACTCTGTGCTTTAAATCAACAGTGTCTGTAGGAGTTTGTGTGACCTGTGTGTGTGACCTGTGTGTGTGACCTGTGTGTGTGACCTGTGTGTGTGACCTGTGTGTGTGTGACCTGTGTGTGTGACCTGTGTGTGTGACCTGTGTGTGTGACCTGTGTGTGTGACCTGTTTGTGTGACCTGTGTATGTGACCTGTGTGTGTGACCTGTGTGTGTGACCTGTGTGTGTGACATGTGCCTCATTATCAATGAGAGAAGGTGAAAAAGACAATTACCTATCTGTTGGCTTAAAACATGTTTCCTTCACCAAGTGTCTAACACACTGATGTGCCTTCTTGACCTAATGTCTAACGTACTGATGTGCCTTATTGACCAAATGTCTAACATACTGATGTGCCACATTGACCAAATGTCTAACACACTGATCGGCTTTCTTGACCAAGTGTCTAACATACTGATCTGCCTTCTTGACCAAATGTCTAACGTACTGATGTGCCTTATTGACCAAATGTCTAACATACTGATGTGCCACATTGACCAAATGTCTAACACACTGATCGGCTTTCTTGACCAAGTGTCTAACATACTGATCTGCCTTCTTGACCAAATGTCTAACGTACTGATGTGCCTTATTGACCAAATGTCTAACATACTGATGTGCCACATTGACCAAATGTCTAACACACTGATCGGCTTTCTTGACCAAATGTCTAACATACTGATCTGCCTTATTGACCAAATGTCTAACATACTGATCTGCCTTATTGACCAAATGTCTAACGTACTGATGTGCCTCATTGACCAAATGTCTAACGTACTGATGTGCCTCATTGACCAAATGTCTAACATACTGATGTGCCACATTGACCAAAATATTGACAAACTGATGTGCCTCATTGACCAAATTCTAACAAATTGATGTGCCTCATTGACCAAGTCTAACAAACTGATATGCCTCATTGACCAAAAGTCTAACAAACTGATGTGCCACATTGACCAAATGACTACCTGTGTGCCTCATTGACCAAATGTCTACCTGTGTGCCTCATTGACCAAATGTCTACCTGTGTGGCTCATTGACCAAAAGTCTAACAAACTGATGTGCCACATTGTCCAAATATCTAACAAACTGATGTGCCACATTGTCCAAATATCTAACAAACTGATGTGCCACATTGACCAAATTATATCTAACAAACTGATGTGCCACATTGACTAAGTCTAACATACTGATCAACTTCTATGACCAAATGTCTCACACACTGATCAGCCTGTCTTGAAGTTATATCTACAATCACACATACGACACCACCAACATATCCCTTGCCGTCGTCCACCGACACCACCAACATATCCCTTGCCGTCGTCCACCGACACCACCAACATATCCCTTGCCGTCGTCCACCGACACCACCAACATATCCATTGCCGTCGTCCACCGACACCACCAACATTACCCTTTCCGTCGTCCACCGACACCACCAACATATCCCTTGCTGTCATCCACCGACACCACCAACATATCCCTTGCTGTCATCCACCGACACCACCAACATATCCCTTGCTGTCGTCCACGATAGACTGACTTAAGAGCTTATTAAAAATTTGCACTTTGATAAATTAATGACGTAAGATTCTCAGGTGTTTGTTTTGTTGTTTGTTGGTTTTGTTGTTTGTTGGTTTTGTTGTTTGTTGGTTTTGCTCACATTCGAAAGTGGTGAGTGAACAATTACTAATTGGAAACGCCTCTTTATGGGCCAGGGTTATGTTATGGATTTTTTTTAAAAGCTTTTTGTGACTGTTTCATGTTAGATAGCCAACGACAATAATGGGATTGCAGTTAACAATTGAAGACATTATTACTAGAGCAGCTACAACACCAAATTAGTGTTCTATTAAAAACAAGAGAAATCAAAGAATCATTTACCTTTGTGTGGACACTTCAAACTTGAAACTCGAATCGTCTTCCTGGTGGTGACGTCATATCCGGCTTGGCAATAGACGGCGAATGTGACGTCACATTGTTCAGCCCTCATCGAGTAGTCCACCGTACTCCAGACGCCAATGAAGACTTGATTGGACGACAGCATGCTGACCATGGAGTTGTTCACGTTGATGATGAAACTGGTGCCCGGGGGACCGTGCCCAATGCAACGGAACGTGACGATACTTCCAACGTCCACAGTCAGGGATGGAGTTAATATGAGTGCTGGGTTAGCGGTCAATGAACTCACGTAGACGTCTATAAGGTCTTATCACATAGCAAGAGAAGAGAAGTTTCAAAATTAAGTATTTGGTAATTTTTTAAAGTTCATTATATTTAAAATAAGGTCGCATGCTTTCTGTGACCAAAACTATGAGGCCACAAGGTATCGTACCTATCAAATTATCCCGATAAAAGCTTTCAGCCAGGGTCGGATTAACCAAACAGAAAAAGAGACACGTGACTAGGGTCAACGAACCTCTTAAGGGTCGCACGAAAAAAAATAATAATTTTGAAAATGAATTGTACTTGGACGTCAGTCTAATTCACATGCAGTAGTCAGATTTAATTTTCATAACTTTTTCCCTTCTCAAAAGTGTTGTTAAGTTTTTAAAAAGTATGTTTTAATTGGGTATACAATTATAGTTCCCAAAAAATGTTTCTAGTGTTTTTTTTTTAACAAAATAAAAAGGGTTTAATTTGTATAATCCAGGCCTGAGGATGAAAACATTTGCCTTAATTCGGTAGAATGGTTAGGCTTTTACTAGGCCTGAGGATGAAAACATTTGCCTTAATTCGGTAGAATGGTTAGGCTTTTACTAGGCCTGAAGATGAAAACATTTGCCTTAATTCGGTAGAATGGTTAGGCTTTTACTAGGCCTGAAGATGAAAACATTTGCCTTAATTCGGTAGAATGGTTAGGCTTTTACTAGGCCTGAAGATGAAAACATTTGCCTTAATTCGGTAGAATGGTTAGGCTTTTACTAGGCCTGAAGATGAAAACATTTGCCTTAATTCGGTAGAATGGTTAGGCTTTTACTAGGCCTGAAGATGAAAACATTTGCCTTAATTCGGTAGATTGGTTAGGCTTTTACTAGGCCTGAAGATGAAAACATTTGCCTTAATTCGGTAGATTGGTTAGGCTTTTACTAGGCCTGAAGATGAAAACATTTGCCTTAATTCGGTAGAACTTTAGGCTTTTACTAGGCCTGAAGATTAAAACATTTGCCTTAATTCGGTAGAACTTTAGGCTTTTACTAGTCCTGTCGACTTTCCACAGGAAGAGCTTTCTGGGGATTGGGATAAAGTTTATATCCAGACTGCAGCTGAACCTGAGACGGAAGTTTAGCTACGTCATCAAAACAGGGCGCTGCTAGGTCATCAAAACAGGGCACTGCTAGGTCATCAAAACAGGGCGCTGCTAGGTCATCAAAACAGGGCACTGCTAGGTCATCAAAACAGGGCGCTGCTAGGTCATCAAAACAGGGCGCTGCTAGGTCATCAAAACAGGGCACTGCTAGGTCATCAAAACAGGGTTCTGCTAGGTCATCAAAACAGGGCACTGCTAGGTCATCAAAACAGGGCACTGCTAGGTCATGAAAACAGCGCGCTGCTAGTTCCAGAATATCAAATTTATACTGGGTTATGGAGAAATATTAAAAATGAATTGCTGGTATATTTTGGCGGAATAGAGACCCTATTTAATGCTAACATTAATATGGAGGTTATTTGGCTAATCTCAGACAATACGGAGGTTGTAAACGGAAGTTCTCCCCTTTGATTTTCTCTCTAAATATGTAAGTGGAATTAAGAAATAATACATTTCAAGCATCACGAAGGGAAGAATTTCATGAAACACTGTCAGTTTCACAATCAAACTCATGAAACACTGTCAGTGTCACAATCAAACTCATAAAACACTGTCAGTGTCACAATCAAACTCATGAAACACTGTCAGTGTCACAATCAAACTCATGAAACACTGCCAGTGTCACAATCAAACTCATGAAACACTGCCAGTGTCACAATCAAACTCATGAAACACTGTCAGTGTCCCAATCAAACTCATGAAACATTGCCAGTGTCACAATCAAACTCATTAAACACTGTCAGTGTCACAATCAAACTTATGAAACATTGCCAGTGTCACAATCAAACTTATGAAACACTGTCAGTGTCACAGACAAACTTATGAAACACTGCAAGTGTCACAATCAAACTCATGAATTACTGCCAGTGTCACAGACAAACTTATGAAACACTGTCAGTGGCACAATCAAACTCATGAAACACTATCAGAGTCCCAATCAGACAAACTCATGAAACATTGTTCAAATGTTGAGATGGCGAGTAAATCTATGTGTGTATATTAATTGTTCAAGTGTAGAGATGATGAGTAAATCTATTTGTGTATATAAATTGTTCAAGTGTAGAGATGGCGAGTAAATCTATTTGTGTATATTAATTGTTCAGGTGTAGAGATGACGAGTAAATATATTTGTGTGTATTAATTGTTCAAGTGTAGAGATGACGAGTAAATCTATTTGTGTATATTAATTGTTCAAGTGTAGAGATGACGAGTAAATCTATTTGTGTATATTAATTGTTCAAGTGTAGAGATGACGAGTAAAGCTATTTGTGTATATTAATTGTTCAAGTGTAGAGATGATGAGTAAATCTATTTGTGTATATTAATTGTTCAAGTGTAGAGATGATGAGTAAATCTATGTGTGTATATTAATTGTTCAAGTGTAGAGATGATGAGTAAATCTATTTGTGTATATTAATTGTTCAGGTGTAGAGATTGCGAGTAAATCTATTTGTGTATATTAATTGTTCAGGTGTAGAGATGACGAGTAAATATATTTGTGTATATTAATTGTTCAAGTGTAGAGATGACGAGTAAATCTATTTGTGTATATTAATTGTTCAAGTGTAGAGATGACGAGTAAATCTATTTGTGTATATTAATTGTTCAAGTGTAGAGATGGCGAGTAAATCTATTTGTGTATATTAATTGTTCAAGTGTAGAGATGACGAGTAAATATATTTGTGTATATTAATTTTTCAAGTGTAGAGATGACGAGTAAAGCTATTTGTGTATATTAATTGTTCAAGTGTAGAGATGACGAGTAAATCTATTTGTGTATATTAATTGTTCAAGTGTAGAGATGACGAGTAAATCTATTTGTGTATATTAATTGTTCAAGTGTAGAGATGATAAGTTTTGACAAATTTTCCTTTCCTTGAAAGTTTGAAAATTAAGAGAACGAGAAAAAGTTTTCCAGATAACTTAGCCAGTGAATGAAACGGGAATCGAGTCACTGTATCAAACGAAAGGTTAACTCAAGGACAATATGATGGATATGATGGATATAATATCAGAGTTCTAAAATTTTGACTGCCTGGAGGCCTCTGCAGGACTCAATCTTACATCGGACAATCTTACATCAGACAATCTTACATCAGACAATTTTACATCAGACAATTTTACATCAGACAATCTTACATCAGACAATTTTACATCAGACAATCTTACATCAGACAATCTTACATCAGACAATTTTACATCAGACAATTTTACATCAGACAATCTTACATCAGACAATCTTACATCAGACAATTTTACATCAGACAATTTTACATCAGACAATCTTACATCAGACAATTTTACATCAGACAATATAACATCAGATGATCTTACATCAGACAAATTTACATCAGACAATCTTACATCAGATAATCTTACAAAACTAAATCTTACATCAGACAATCTTACATCAGAACATTTTACAACACAAAAATCTTACATCAGACAATGTTACCTCTTACATCAGTCAAACTTGCATGAGATAATCGTTCTTACGACAATCTTACATCAGACAATCTTACCTCTTATAATCAGACTACATTAATAAATGTAATAAGCAACAATACCTGTAATTTTCAGATTCCAGTTTTTGTTGGAGCAAGAAACATTTGTCATGTTACGGTAAACAGCCATGGAAAGGAAAGTACCTGTGTTGTCAAGGGAACCCATTTGGACTCCGTATCTGTAATGTACTAAATACACATAGTAAAAAATGTATGCATCTGTTTACCTTAATATGTATGTATATATTACTTTAGTATAATTTCGAGATCATTTTCAGTAAAAAGTTACCGCATTTTTGTGTTAACACCGTAAGCAATCGAATAAGAATAGCAATGATTGGCCTTTGCGGTCTCGATCTCAATAAACCAACCAGAATATTGTCTCTTAGAGAATTACGTTGTTAACACTTAATTGCCAGTGTGTTTGCCTGAGACCTTTTCTCTTCATTAAGAACCGTATCCCAGAACTGTATCCTGTATATTGATTTGTGTTAACTTATCTAACGGTTGACTGGATTTCCCTGCACACCTTGTATTTCTTATTACAATCCAGCGCCCCACCCCCCCCATTATTGATTTGTGTTAACTTATCTAACGGTTGACTGGATTTCCCTGCACCCCTTGTATTTCTTATTACAATCCAGCGCCCCCCCCCCCCCATTCCCCCCCCCCCCGCTAATTGACCAAACTAGTCTTTGGAGCTTAAAACTACGTTTTTGAGAGCTTAAAACTACCCTGTCTGGATCCCATTCGATTTTTATAATTTTTTTTATAATTATTTCAGGGAAATTCGGGGTAAATACGGAAACTTAAAAATTCAAACATGTTGACACCATGGGGCCAGCAATATCAGAGGCGTAGCCAGGATTTAGTTGTCAGAGGCGGGTCACGCCCCTTCCAACAAAAAAAAATTCATGTTGATAAATATGCCACCCTGTAAAATAAAGGAACAAGTGGCACCAGGGGCGGACCACTCCTTCTACTTTTACCCTCCCCAAGGCACAGAGTGATGTAGTGCTGTAGAGGCAAGCTAGCTGCCTCGGTCGCTAGGTGTCATTGTGACAGACAGTTAACTATGACAAACTGTTAAACATACAAAATTTGGCGCGTCTAAAAATAATTTCCCATAGCTCACGTGACCAAAGTTTGTTGAAATCAAGTTAACCCCCACCCCTTTTTTCCCCCATAAAATAACATGTAAAACTGGTTTTCGAATTGTCCAGATTTTACACAAAATAATAATAATAAACAAATATTTAATTATTTTTTTTTAATTATTTAATTCATAAAATAACTTTTTTGAGGTGTTCAAGTGGGATTTGAGTCCTGATTGTAAAATCTTAAAACCGGTTTTAAATAGGATTTCTAAAACTGGTATCTGTTCTAAGGGGAGTGGGCGCTGTAAAAAAAAAGGGGGGGGGCTGTACTAACACCGCTACAGTAAATGAATTTATTCTTACCTGCAACGCAACTTTGATTACGGCACCACGCTACCAGATCAGAGACGCCATTTTTGGTAACATACCATCTGTCATCGTTGGATGTGCACGTGAAATTAAAATACTCTCCTTCTTTAAGTGTCACGTCGGTCGACGCCGTACCATAAATACCTGCATGCAACGACGAGACGAAACGGGAAACATGATTCACATTTCATTATTTCGACGTTGTTTGACAACTAGCACAATACTAATACATTTAAATAATTATTACTGCCAAGCTACCGATATGCCAGGAAGAAAAAGAGACTTTCACATGTTTTAATTCCCAATTCTGTTGTTTTAACAACATTTTAAATGCTGAAATTACAACCCGTGTCGTATTTTAATATACTGAGAGCGAATACACTGAAAACCAATAAATATACATACACATACACAGGCCTATATGTACATACGCATACACAGACCAACATGTACATACACAAGCCAACATGTACATACACAGGCCAACATGTACATACACAGGCCAACATGTACATACACAGGCCAACATGTACATACACAGGCCAACATGTACATACACAGGCCAACATGTACATACATAGGCCAACATGTACATACACAGGCCAACATGTACATACACAGACCAACATGTACATACACAGACCAGCATGTTCATACACATACACAGGCCAACATGTACATACATAGGCCAACATGTACATACACAGACCAACATGTACATACACAGACCAGCATGTTCATACACATACACAGGCCAACATGTACATACACCGGCCAACATGTACATACATAGGCCAACATGTACATACACATACACAAGCCAACATACACACACACATAAACGTGCACATGCACATACATAGGCTACAATGTACATAAACATACACATGTCAAAATGAACATATACATGTACCGGCCACAATGTACATACTCATACACATGCCACCGTGTACAGACACGTACACAGGCCTACATGTACATACACAGGCCTTCATGTACATACATCTACACCGGTCACCATGTACATACACGTACACATGCCTACATTTACATACACGTACACATGCCTACATTACATACACGTACACAGGCCACCATGTACATACACATACACAGGCCTACATGTACATGTCAAGACCTACTTACCCAAATAAAGGTACATAAGAATGACCACTGAGCAGTTCGCCAATGTGGGTGACATCCTAAGGTCTGAAGGAAACATTAAAATAACGATCTATTAATAATCTACTATTTATAATAAACTCAGTGTGACTATGTTTGTATGTTTGCATGTTTGCATGTTTGTATGTTTTTATGTTTGCATGTTAATGTTTGTATGTTTGTATGTTTGCAAGTTTATGGTTGTATGTTTGTATGTTTGCATGTTTGTATGTTTGTATGTGTGTATGTTTGTATGTTTGTATGTTTGTATGTTTGGATGTTTGGATGTTTGCATGTTTATGTTTGTATGTTTGTATGTTTGCATGTTTGTATGTTTGTATGTTTTTTTGTTTGCATGCTTTTTTTAATGTGTTACTTTTTATAAGAAGATTGGAATATAATGAATCGCAAACAGATTAAACATGGTTCTGACCAACAGACCTATTCCTCCTGACCTACAGACCTATTCCTCCTGACCTACAGACCTATTCCTCCTGACCTACAGACCTATTCCTCCTGACCAACAGACCTATTCCTCCTACCAACAGATCTATTACTCCTGACCTACAGACCTATTCCTCCTGACCTACAGACCTATTCCTCCTGACCAACAGACCTATTCCTCCTGACCTACAGACCTATATATTTATAAGATATATTATAAATTTGGCTTTTATAGGATACAAATTGAAATTTTAATTGGTTCTTTAACGGAGTGTTTTGGCCCTCAAGTTTCCTGTCAGCTGATAACGCTCTAAAAGTTTGTTTTTCCCCTAATACAAACTCGAGCAAAACCAGGTGCATTGGCTAGTATTTAATTTTTTTTTTAAATTATTGTAACTTGCAAATAGTTAATGTGGGCCATCAGAAAAAAAATTCCATGCGCTAGTTAATACGGACAGACAGCTACCAATGAATCTATCAGTCGGACAGACAGCTACCAATGAATCTATCAGTCGGAAAGACAGCTACCAATGAATATATGAGTCGGACGGACAACTACCAATGAATCTATCAGTCGGACAGACAGCTACCAATGAACCTATCACTCAGACAGACAGCAACCAATGAATCTATCAGTCGGACAGACAGCTACCAATGAACCTATCAGTCCGACAGACAGCTACCAATAAATCTATCAGTCGGACAGACAGCTACCAATGAACCTATCATTCAGACAGACAGCTACCAATGAACCTATCAGTCGGACAGACAGCTACCAATGAACCTATCAGTCCGACATACAGCTACCAATGAATATATCAGTCGGTCAGACAGCTACCAAAGAATATATGTGTAGAAAAACAGCTATCAAGAATCTTTGTTCCTAGTGATATACCCACCCCACCATTTTCGTTATATTTTGCATACACACATCGAGCGCAATAACAGCATCTGACATTTAGATAAGATGTCATATGACATGCTCATATAATAATATCATATGATGTACAAATATAATATTATTAAACTATAATGTCATAAGACATACACATATTATAATGTTATTAAAATATAATGTCATATGACATATAAATATTATAATGTTGTTAAAATATAATGTAAAATGACATACAAATATAATGTTATTATAATATAATGTCATATTAACATACAAATATGATAATATTATTAAAATACAATGCCATTTGACATCCACATATGATAATTTTTTAAAATATAATGTCTTATGTTACTATTAATTGAAAATATGATTGGGTCAAATGTTTTTAAATGTATGATTATGTCATATGAATCAAGAAATGATGATGTCACAAGTCATTAAGATCTAATCAAGTTAATAGGGACCATCCATAAATGGACTTTCTTTTTATCCTCACGCAACCCTTCAAAGAAAGTATCCAGTTCTACAACCAACCCTCCAAAGAAAGTATCCAGTTCTACAACCAACCCTTCAAAGAAAGTATCCAGTCCTACAACCAACCCTCCAAAGAAAGTATCCAGTTCTACAACCAACCCTCCAAAGAAAGTATCCAGTTCTACAACCAACCCTCCAAAGAAAGTATCCAGTTCTACAACCAACCCTCCAAAGAAAGTATCCAGTTCTACAAACAACCCTCCAAAGAAAGTATCCAGTTCTACAACCAACCCTCCAAAGAAAGTATCCAGTTCTACAACCAACCCTCCAAAGAAAGTATCCAGTTCTACAACCAACCCTCCAAAGAAAGTATCCAGTTCTACAAACAACCCTCCAAAGAAAGTATCCAGTTCTACAACCAACCCTCCAAAGAAAGTATCCAGTTCTACAACCAACCCTCCAAAGAAAGTATCCAGTTCTACAACCAACCCTCCAAAGAAAGTATCCAGTTCTACAAACAACCCTCCAAAGAAAGTATCCAGTTCTACAACCAACCCTCCAAAGAAAGTATCCAGTTCTACAACCAACCCTCCAAAGAAAGTATCCAGTTCTACAACCAACCCTCCAAAGAAAGTATCCAGTTCTACAACCAACCCTCCAAAGAAAGTATCCAGTTCTACAACCAACCCTCCAAAGAAAGTATCCAGTTCTACAACCAACCCTCCAAAGAAAGTATCCAGTTCTACAACCAACCCTCCAAAGAAAGTATCCAGTTCTACAACCAACCCTTCAAAGAAAGTATCCAGTTCTACAACCAACCCTTCAAAGAAAGTATCCAGTTCTACAACCAACCCTCCAAAGAAAGTATCCAGTTCTACAACCAACCCTCCAAAGAAAGTATACAGTTCTACAACCAACCCTCCAAAGAAAGTATCCAGTTCTACAACCAACCCTCCAAAGAAAGTATCCAGTTCTACAACCAACCCTCCAAAGAAAGTATCCAGTTCTACAACCAACCCTCCAAAGAAAGTATCCAGTTCTACAAACAACCCTCCAAAGAAAGTATCCAGTTCTACAACCAACCCTCCAAAGAAAGTATCCAGTTCTACAACCAACCCTCCAAAGAAAGTATCCAGTTCTACAACCAACCCTCCAAAGAAAGTATCCAGTTCTACAAACAACCCTCCAAAGAAAGTATCCAGTTCTACAACCAACCCTCCAAAGAAAGTATCCAGTTCTACAACCAACCCTCCAAAGAAAGTATCCAGTTCTACAACCAACCCTCCAAAGAAAGTATCCAGTTCTACAAACAACCCTCCAAAGAAAGTATCCAGTTCTACAACCAACCCTCCAAAGAAAGTATCCAGTTCTACAACCAACCCTCCAAAGAAAGTATCCAGTTCTACAACCAACCCTCCAAAGAAAGTATCCAGTTCTACAACCAACCCTCCAAAGAAAGTATCCAGTTCTACAACCAACCCTTCAAAGAAAGTATCCAGTCCTACAACCAACCCTCCAAAGAAAGTATCCAGTTCTACAACCAACCCTCCAAAGAAAGTATCCAGTCCTACAACCAACCCTTTAAAGAAAGTATCCAGTTCTACAACCAACCCTTCAAAGAAAGTATCCAGTCCTACAACCAACCCTCCAAAGAAAGTATCCAGTTCTACAACCAACCCTTTAAAGAAAGTATCCAGTTCTACAACCAACCCTTCAAAGAAAGTATCCAGTCCTACAACCAACCCTCCAAAGAAAGTATCCAGTTCTACAACCAACCCTTCAAAGAAAGTATCCAGTCCTACAACCAACCCTCCAAAGAAAGTATCCAGTTCTACAACCAACCCTCCAAAGAAAGTATCCAGTCCTACAACCAACCCTCCAAAGAAAGTATCCAGTTCTACAACCAACCCTCCAAAGAAAGTATCCAGTTCTACAACTTCGTCACAAATTTTTAAGACAATATAGAAACGTTTATCACACATCATACTTCGTAACAAATTCATAGACAGCCCCCCCCCCTCAAAACACACACACACACACACGACGCTGGTCGTGCCTTCTAGGTGGCCCGGTACATGTCAAATGAAAGAAACAGACATTGGAGTATGTGTAAAATGAAAGAAACAGACATTGGAGTATGTGTAAAATGAGAAACAGACATTGGAGTATGTGTAAAATGAAAGAAATAGACATAGAAGTCTGTGAAAAATGAAAGAAACAGACATTGGAGTATGTGTAAAATGAAAGAAACAGACATAGAAGTATGATCAAATTAAAGAAACAGACATTGGAGTATTTGTAAAATGAAAAAAACCAGACTTTGGAGTATGTGTAAAATAAAAGAAACAGACATTGGAAGTGTGTAGCAAAACAAAAATATGACCCATCACACAATGTCTAGACCTTATCTAGTGGCATCTTAACCTTCGCTGACCTTAATTCTTTATTATGTAAGGTTCAAGTCAGCTCTGCTGCCTGTCAGTTTTCCAACACAAAAACTCAACACAAGACAAAACTAAACCTTGTTTGAGAATAACTCGACCAGCCGATGAGTCATATAAACACTGCCGCCCCTTCCAACACTGAAACCACTGCCACCACTACAAACACTGCCACCCCTTTCAACACTGCCACCCCTACCACCACTGCCACCACTGCCACCACTGCCAAGACTGCCACCACTGCCACTACTGCAACACTCCTGGTTCTCATTGTTAACTTGCACACAAACAGGTGTGCTCTGATGACCGTGGATCAATGATTTTCTGGGTCACCCTTCAGGTTCTGGGTCACTGCTCATGTTCCCTGTTATTTGTTGTTGCGAAAGGTGTTACTGCCTACCACAAGGACGTCCCATTGGCTCGATTTGGGCCAATCGGATAATGCATTAGGTCAATACACAGAGCAGTCAGTTGGTCTCAAAGTGGGCGGTCACAGGGGGGACGATGGGAGGGTGACACGCTCGGTTGGTTTCGGGGGGGGGGGACGATGGGGTTACTAAAGGGGTCGCTGGGGCTACTAAAGCGGTCGCTGGGGCTACTAAAGGGGCCGCTTTGGCTACTAAAGGGGTCGCTGGGGTTACTAAATGGGTCGCTGGGGCTACTAAAGGGGTTGCTGGGGCTACTAAAGCGGTCGCTGGGGCTACTAAAGGGGTTGCCGGGGCTACTAAAGGGGTCACTGGTGAAATAATAAGGATAACATCTTGACATCAACATTATATGTTTAAAAAAATATTCATCTGAGACTTAGCATTATTAGCTTTGTCTTGGATAGACAGTAGATAATATATTAGGCTATGATACACAGTATGTAATGGATTAGTCTTGGATAGACGGTAGATAATGGAATATTCTTGTATAGACTGTAGTTAATGGATTAGTCTATGATAGTCAGTAGGTAATGGATTAGTCTTGGATAGACGGTAGATTATCTATTAGTCTTGGATAGACAGCAGATAATCAATTAGTCTATGATAGACAACAGGGTAATGGATTAGTCTTGGATAGACGGTAGATAATGGATTAGTCTTGTATAGACAGTAGGTAATGGATTAGTCTTGAATAGACAGTAGATAATGGATTAGTCTTGGATAGACAGTAGATAAAGGATTAGTCTTGGATAGACAGTAGATAATGGATTAGTCTTGGGTGGACAGTAGGTAATGGATTAGTCTTGGACAGACGGTAGATAATGGATTAGTCTTGGATAGAGAGTAGATAATGGATTAGTCTTGGATAGAGAGTAGATAATGGATTAGTCTTGGATAGACAGTAGATAATGGATTAGTCTTGGATAGAGAGTAGATAATGGATTAGTCTTGGATAGAGAGTAGATAATGGATTAGTCTTGGATAGAGAGTAGATAATGGATTAGTCTTGGATAGAGAGTAGATAATGGATTTTTTTCCGCCGCACGAGGAACATCACATTATCTTAACAACAAACAATGAACAGACAACTCATGTCAATACAATGAACAGACAACTCATGTCAATACAATGAACATACAACTCATGTCAATACAATGAACAGACAACTCATGTCAATACAATGAACAGACAACTCATGCCAATACAATGAACAGACAACTCATGTCAATACAATGAACAGACAACTCATGTAAATACAATGAACAGACAATCCATGTAAATATTATGAACAGACTATCCATGTAAATACAATGAACAGACAACTCATGTCAATACAATGAACAGACAACTCATGTCAATACAATGAACAGACAATCCATGTAAATATTATGAACAGACAACTCATGTCAATACAATGAACAGACAACTCATGTCAATAAAATGAACAGACAATCCATGTAAATATTATAAACAGACTATCCATGTAAATACAATGAACAGACAATCCATGTAAATACGATGAACAGACAACCCATGTAAATACGATGAACAGATAACTCATGTAAATACGATGAACAGACAATCCATGTAAATACGATGAACAGACAACTCATGTTAATACGAGGAACAGACAATACATGTAAATACGATGAACAGACAACTCATGTAAATACAATGAACAGACAACTCATGTCAATAAAATTTAAAAAACAACCCATGTAAATACACTGAATAGGTCTGCAGTCAACATTTTTTCACAGACACACACTTAAGTCATTAAACAAAAGCCCAGAGATTGTCTGCTTAAATCCTTAAACAAAAGCCCAGAGATTGCTTAAATCATTAAACAAAAGCCCAGAGATTGTCTGCTTAAATCCTTAAACACAATCATTATTGCAGACAAAAAATTAGAATCAACTATGATCAAATATTTCAGAATGTCTGGCATGAAAAAGAACATTATTTTGAACTAAATCTGCTACATACTCACAGTTTAAGTGTGTTGTCTATCACAATTCAAGTGTGCTGACTATCACAATTCAAGTGTGTTGTCTATCACAATTCAAGTGTGTTGGCTATCACAATTCAAGTGTGTTGTCTATCACAATTCAAGTGTGTTGTCTATCACAATTCAAGTGTGTTGTCTATCACAATTCAAGGATGTTGTCGATCACAATTCAAGTGTGTTGTCTATCACAATTCAAGTGTGTGTCTATCACAATTCAAGTATGTTCGCTATCAACTGTGAAGAGTGTAAAGTGGCTTTGAAAAATATATTTGATAATCATTTTGTTTTGAAAACACAAATGATTATCTTAGTTTTTCACCACAAATATATCAGACACAACATTTCTTATATATCAGAAATTCCCCTACACTTGATCGGATTGCTTCTTTTCCTCGAGTAATTTATTATAGATACCCAACTACTAAGTGACTGTTTTGTATCCCTGCCTAGTCTTGGCTGCCTTATCATGTCCGTCTGCTGTATCCTGTCTGTCTGTCCATCCGTCTGGCTTTCTGATAACGGATTTAGGATTCCATACAAATGCCGACCAATGCCCCCCCCCCCAATTTCTTGTATGTCATCCTAACAGTTTTTCATGTCCGTCTGCTGTATCCTGTCTGTCTGTCCATCCGTCTGGCTTTCTGATAACGGATTTAGGATTCCATACAAATGCCGACCAATGCCCCCCCCCCCCATATACTGTATAACCGATGTGTGATATCATATCCCGGATCTAGATAAATTGATACAGGAATGTGGTGGACAGATCTCAGAGGAGTGGCGCTACTATACAGCGGCGTTGACAAGGAGGGTTATGGGTTAAAAAATGGGAGACCTAAAAAAGGACAAGGAAAAAGGGGACAAAGAAGGGGACATTAAAAAATACGGGCAAAAAGCGTCGCTTTTTGTATAACTTTATTTGCGAAACCTTGAGGGAAAATTGTATCCAATCAAAACTTAGCTATCCAGCACAGCAGCGATGAACCCGGTAATATTATAGCTCTAATCATGCATGAAGAACAATGCCATCATGCCAGGAATGGCTATTTAGCAACGTGGCTACGCGTTTATATAATAGGTATTTATATTTACCGGTATATATGGTTTGTCAGACTAAATCGACTATGACCACCATCACCATCCTATATGCTAAATGCGAACTTGGCTGTGGGTGCACAGATGGCTGATCAGACAGATTCTGTCTGTGGGTGCACAGATGGCTGATCAGACAGATTCTGTCTGTGGGTGCACAGATGGCTGATCAGACCTATTCTACTGTTCATTCATATTTGCTGCGCATCTGCTAGTATTATTGATTACAATATTTTGACATGACTTTTTTCAATTTCTATTTTTTGACAAATGAAATCAACCCTTAAAGTTAGATTTAGGGTTAGGGTTAGGTTTAGGGTTAGTTTAGGGTTAGTTTAGGGTTATAAGGGTTAGGTTTAGGGTTAGGGTTAGGTTTAGGGTTTGGGTTAGGTTTAGGGTTAGCGTTAGGTTTAGGGTTAGGTTTAGGGTTAGGTTTAAGGTTAGGTTTAGGGTTATAAGGGTTAGGTTTAGGGTTATTAGGGTTAGGGTTAGGGTTAGGTTTAGGGTTATAAGTGTTAGGTTTAGGGTTAGGGTTAGGTTTAGGGTTAGGTTAGGGTGTTTATTGTATAATAACCTCATGCTCTAAGGAGCATACGTATTACTCTGATTGTTATGCCATTTAGGATAGAGACTATTTATAAAAATAACTATTAAAGATGTATGTGGATTTGTTTCTCTCTTTTTGTATTTAGTCAAGCTTGGAAATATTTTGGTAAGATAATTATTGCACTTTTTGTATATGAGGAACTGTTGTAGATGCTGAATGGGACGTAACGATTGTACTTGCTGTATATGACGTAATTATTGCATTTGCTGTATATGACGTAATTATTGCGCTTACTGTGTATGACGTAATTATTGCACTTGATGTATATAACGACAGCTTTATGGATGGAATTTGTTTAAATTCATTTATTATTAAAAATAATTTGACGAAATAGAAAGTTAACATAAAAGTTATAAATTAATATTGGTATTTAGTAACAACTTTAAATAGAGTAAGAGGGGTCCTTCACTTAATTCGGAGATCCGTTGATACGGTGTGGCGTACTTAACGCCATATTCACCATACCTCGCAACCCACCTAACTAAGCACATACACGTCACTCACATACAGCACACACACACAGTACAGAAATCAAGTGAAACAGTCATTTAAAAATATAGCCTCAAAATAAATGCTTTCTAAAATGGTGGATGGAGCAATGGCGGGTGGGGGGGGGGGCTGAACATTTCACAAAACATGCATGCAAGTAACGCAGTTAATAAGAATCCCAATTAGTGACCCCCCACCCCCAAAGGCTCACAACCTCACATTTTTTCACGCCCCCGAACTAAAATCCGAA